TTCGTTGTCAATTTATAGAACTTCGTGTTTATAATCAGAACTATTCATATTATAAATCACCCTATAAAGATCGTCTTTGCAAAAATCAATTAAAACTAAGGTTGTTTAGTCATCAAAATGTTTAAAAATAAATGAATGGTTTTGGTAAAAGCATTATGAACTGTCCATGTACTTGCTATAATAGATTGACTAAACGATCTTAGTTTTAATTTAGTTTTTGTAGAGATGATCTTTACAGTGTAATTTATAGTATGAATGGTTCTTATCATAAATACAAAGTTCTGTCATTAAAACATTATGAATTTTGAGTAGGAGTTCAAACTCATCTGAGTAGTCAAGTATTATTCCTAAGGAAAAGGGGTGGGCATTTCCCTTGTAAAAAATCAGATCCTAGAAAATCTCACACTACCTACCTTCTGAGAATCTGAATTATGAAAATTTAACAGACACAACGTGGCCCATTTTTCTGCAAATCATCATTGCATTTCTTATTCTGGTGCTTGCCATAATAATGCAAACATAAAATAAAAGGTTAACATATCCTTTTTCAAATGTTATCATTAGAACGCAAGTCCACCTCTGCTACAAAGGTAGAGAAGAGTGTTGCCCTTACATCAGGGTATGGATTCGAATTATGTCGGTTCTTTAATCTAATATCTAATCTAACAAATCTATCTTTGACCTAAAAAAATGTTATCATCAGAACTGTTCGTTGTTATTTAAAAATTATTGGGTTAAGTCAGGATAATTATTTTTTAAGGGTGGTTTTAGATTGGTCATAACTTTTTTTTAATAAACAAACGATATCATTTAGGTGAAGGATGAATTTAGCCTCACAATGGACTGAAAAGAATCGAACCTAAGACTCTGACTTACAAGTGAAAATGAATACCACTAGACACTTCAATAATGTGGTCATAACCTTTTAAAACAATTCAAATAACTACCTAAAGTTTTGAAAAATAGTCATCTATTAGGTTCACTAGCTTTCAGTTATGATATGAACAAATATTAAGCATGTTTTAAATCTCAAGTCATCTATGGAGATTTGAATCTCCAAATTGACGCATTTTGGAAGTCTCTCTCCTCTAGATTATTGTAAGAACATCTCCAATGGAATGACAGCAAAGGGGCTTGCTGTCAAATATAACAACAGCTTCAAATTTTCTTTATTAATTATTAAATGTCTTTTATTAATAATTAATTGTCATTTATTATTGGATTGTTGAACGGTAGAGCTTGTTTTATGTACTACATTTTTCTTCTTTTTTAATCAACAAGTTCTTTTCAATATAAGCGACGATGCCTTGTGAAATATAGTGATTCATTCTTCAATCCTACATTATTTTGTGAACCCTCAAATTTTTTCAAACTCATCTTCTGATTCAGCGGAGGAGTCTGGAAAAATTTGAGGCATGTTTTGCTTGTGGATTTATGGTTTTTGTCAACAGTTCTTCAGGTTTTTTGCTTTTTGTGCCGTTTTTAGAGATTCTGTGCACATGTTGTGATGCTTTTAATGGGAGAATTTTTTTAGTGAGGAGTTGTTGGGTGTGAATCATGGGTGATTTCCTTTTCTTATTTTATTTTTACTGGATTTTAGGATCCATATGATCCATCCACATAATTCATATATGGAAAAGAAATGGAAGCAAATCAAAATCCAGCTACTTCTAAGCAATGATTATTCATTTGATAGAAAACTTCATTTTAATCTTTACAAAATATGAATTTTAGACTATGACATTGTGTAAGATTAAAATCTAATTTTAGTCCTTAGTTCATTTAATCATCTCATTTATTAGTTATATTTTGATGTTTTATTTATCTTTTTATTTTTATTTTAATATATTAATTTCATTTAAATTTAATTTTTATTTCATTCATCAAAATTTATTTTAATGTCAACATTTAGGCAACTAATTTTTTTATAATATATATTCCGATAACAATTTTGTATATCCATCCATACAAACATATAGGTACTTTAATTCAATATAATGCATTTCGGTACGTACATTTTGGTACACACATTTGAGTATCAACTTTTTGGTACATTAATTTAATATATTATATTTCAGTACATACATTTTGGTACGTACATTTTGGTACTTACATTTCGATATTGATATTTAGGTACATTAATTCAATATAATACATTTTGGTTCATTATAATATATTTCGGTACAATTGTAGATACAAAAATTTCAGTACAAAAAAATCAATTTTATATATTTCGGCACAGTCATTTTTGTACACTTATGTATTTATATATTTTTGTATTACAAATTTGTTTTAATATTTTCTCATTTATGTTCATTTATAATTAGAGGACTAAATATGTGCAAATTAATAAAATTAAAATTTAATGGGGAGAGATTAAATAAAAATACACATTAAATAACAAAAATTGAATATAAATTTTTATAAAAATACACTTCAAGAGATTAAATTGAATATGTAATCTAGCACCAGATTTTTTTAAATTTTAATCTTTTGCAAGGATTCATGTTAAAAAAACCTCTTGATTTGACCCGGAAATTCTAGAGATTTGTGTCGTATATAAACCCAGCAAAACCCAGAATTCTAAGTATCCAGAAGAACCCAGCAACAAGAGCTAGAACAGCAATGGCTCTTCTAGCACTTGTGTTTGAGCAGCTGCAGAAAAATGTCTTTCTTCTTCCTCTTCTCGTCCTTTCTGCGTTCATTCTCTTTTCGTTTACTAGATCATCGTCCAATGGCGATGAGAAACGCAAACTCAAGTTACCACCTTCCCCGCCAAGGTTGCCATTGATTGGAAACCTTCACCAGTTAGGCACATTCCCGCACCTTTCTCTCCATGCTCTCTCGAAAAAGTATGGCAATTTAATGCTAGTGCATTTTGGGAAAGTTTCGACTCTGATTGTTTCGTCTGCAGAGATGGCCAAGGAGGTGATGAAGACGCAGGACATTGCTTTCTGCAGCCGGCCGAAAGCCACTGCTCCAGGAATATTGTTCTATGACGCTCATGATGTGGCGTTTGCTCCTTACGGGGAGTCCAGGAGGCAAGTTCGGAAAATCTGTGTTCTTGAGCTTCTCAGTCTTAAGAAGGTGTCACAGTTTCAATACGCAAAGGTGGAAGAAGTTTCCTCGTTGGTCGGAAAGATTCGCAAAGCGTTGAGTCTCAATGGCGGGGGTCCTATTGTTCTGAGTGATCTGCTGGTGGCAACCTCCAACAACATCATCTGCAGGTGTATTCTCGGACAAAAGTTTGAGGGCGAAGAGGACAAGTGGTTCGGAGATGTGACGAAAGATTTGATGTGCCAACTCATAAGTTTCAGTTTTACGGATTACTTTGGTCCGAGGATGAGTTGGCTTGACCGTGCTAGAGGCCACATTAAACATTTGACATCAATTTGGTCCGAATTTGATAAGTTTTTCGATAAGTTGATTGCCGAACATAAGGAGGCAGAGAAAGAAGGCAAGCCTCGCAAGAAGGATTTCGTGGATATTCTCCTCCAAGTTCGAAAGGATGGCAATGACTTTGAGCTCAAAAGTGACCACCTCAAATTACTTCTACTGGTCTGTATATATCCCCCTTCATAACTTACTCTCTATAACAATAACATTGATATATATATATACACACACACACACACACATACATACATACATACATATATATATGGCTGATGATTGATTTGGCTTCTTAATTTACGATTTCAGGACATGTTTGTCGGAGGAAGTGATACTAGTTGGACTGCCATGATATGGTTGATGACAGAGCTTGGGAAAAATCAAAGTGTGATGAAGAAGAGTGGTGGGGAAAAAGGGATTTGTAGATGAGAATGTTGACATCCCCCAAATGACTTACATGATATGTTGCATCAAAGAAAATATGAGAGTTCATCCTCCAGCGCCTCTTTTAATTCCCCGTGAAACAAGTACAGATGAGAAATTGGGAGGTTACAATATCCCTGCGAAAACACAAGTGTTTGTCAGCGCATAGTCGGTACAAAGGGACCCCAAAGTCTGGGACAAGCCCGATGAGTTTTACCCGGGGAGGTTTGAGGAAAAGTCCGTTGGTTTCGTAGGTCAGGAGTTTGAACTCATCCCGTTCGGTGCTGGGAGAAGAGTGTGCCCTGGACTCGGCTTTGGGGTTGCTTCAGCTGAATATGTGTTTTCCAACCTTCTATATTGGTTTGATATGAAATTGCCTAGTGGTGGTAAAGCATTGGCCAAGACCATGGACACCAATGAAGTTTACAGACTCTCAGTCCATAAGAAGGCTCCTCTCAACCTTATCCCAATCCCATACAACCCTTGATCCCTCAATCAAGATCTGTCATGCTTATTTATTCTTTTAATTAATTTTGTTCGTAGTTTCTGTTTCACCTAAATTTGCATTAGCAATTTTGCACTTTACAATGTTGTGATCCTCAATGAGGCGTTGTAATGTGACTGCGTAGAAATTGTAACAGATACATAGTTTTTTATAATAATACATATTTTGGATTTGCTAATCCACTTTGAACATTTGAGAATGCGTGTAATTAGTTGTAGTGTCTCTTGAAACATCTTCAGGAAAAAAAAAATGGATAGGTATGGACAAGCGGAAGGAGTGAAGAAGTGGTACGAAGGGTAGTGTTGAAAGAAGTCATCAGTGGTCAAGGTACTGGTTGCATCCGCAGTATCAGTCATATGCAGCATCAGTTAATCAGTCATATGCAACATCAGTTTCAAAGTACAAGTTGCATCTGCAACTTCATCTACTCACATCAAAGACACTGTTGGTCAGTATGAAAGCCACACTGCCTTCACCCTTCATGGGCTCTACCATGTCTTTCATGGTATTGATGTCTTTGATCCCAAGTTCCATATTGTTTCACCAAGAGCTGACATGAATGAATACAAACAACCACTTTGAACTAGAAATCAACATGGTATTAGAGTAGGAACCATAATTGGCCTGCCTTTGATTTATTCTCTACTGTATTTTTTCTTCTTCTGTTCATCCCACGAAAATGGCAGAAGATAACCCTTTGGTTTCAGAGGTTACGAGTTCCTCTACTGCAACTTCCATCATCATTCATGGAGATATCAATCCTAATCAAAGGTTGTGCTCCGTGTTGTTAAATGAATTCAACTATCTACGTTGGTTTCGTGCTGTCACGCTTGCCCTAGGAGGAAGATCCAAGATAGGGTACATCAATGGCAACATTAAACCTCCTAAAACTACCTCTATGTCTTATGATGCATGGTTGTGTAATGACCAACTGGTTATGTCGTGGATGCTCAACTCCATGGAGCTCAAGCTGTCTGAGCTTTTCAGTTACTCAAAATCCTTATATATTCTTTGGGAAGCAGTCAAGGAGATGAACGGGAGTCAAAACAATGCTACTTATGTGTTCCAACTAAAAAAAAACCTTGCTAGTTTAAAGCAAGGTGATCAAGCGTTTGTTCAGCACCTTGGAAGCTTGAAGAACATGTGGAACGAACTAGATTTGTATCGCCCACACATCACTGACCATTGATTCAGCTGTGCTTTTGAAAAGGGTTGATGAAGACAAGGTTTTCTAAATCTTGGCTGGTTTGGGACCAGAGTATGAAGATCTCAAGAGCCACCTTTTGATGACTCATAAGCTTCCATCATTTGGAAATGTGTGTTAAGCTGTGCAAAGAGAAGAAACCCGCAGGAAAGTGATGAGTGTCGAAATCAAGACCAACTTTGAAGCTAGAGCATTCAATGTCAATCACAAATCAGCAAGGGACAATCAGTTCAAAGAAAGGAGGTCAGATTGGAAGTGCACTTACTGCAATGGTGCTAGTCATTTGAGGGAGAAATGTTGGATCCTACATCCTGAATTAAGACCTAAGTTTGAAAACAAGCTTTTCAGAGATGTAAGAGGTTCACTCAATCACTCACAAACTTATGCTCCAAATGCCTATCATGCAGCAAGCACATCTACTGATAAACTGGTAAATTTCACCTCCAACCCTGTTGATTTAATAAATGAGTTTACTTCCTATATACAAAGGAAGAAGGGAAGCACTGAGAGTGAGGATTAAGCCACTGGAAATCCCACTGCTTTACTTGGGAAATTTGGCTGATTCAGAATGTGTACCACAAAGAGACATCTCAGGTATAACAAGTGCACTTTCCACTGCTTTAAATATAGGTCTTTCACCTGATGTTTGGATTATAGACTCAGGTGCCACTAACCATATGACAAACAAAGTATCCAGTTTACATGAGTATACTCAGTTACATAAACCTAGCCATGTATATGTGGCAAGTGGTAAGGGGGACCTTATTCTAGGTAAAGGGAAGATAAACTTGATGAGTGATAGGGTCGAGTCACCTACACTTTATGTTCCTTTTTTCCCTTTCCAACTGTTGTCCGTTGGAAAGATTACAAAAACCTTAGATTGTATTGCCATTTTCTCTCCTCATAATGTTGTTTTTCAGGACCAAGTCACCAAGAGGAAGATTGGTAAATGAGCCAATCTAAATGGTCTATACTACTTGTCAAGGGATATCAACATTGTCCAAAAGTTTTTTGCCTATTTAAGTCTTGATCAAGAACAGTAGCTTTGGCACCAAAGATTAGCTCACCCTTCTGAACAGTAGCTTTGGCACCAAAGTTTTGTAAAGATTCACAGGAATGTGAGACATGTCAACTCTCAAAAGCTACTAGACTTCCTTTTGTTTCATCCAAGTCTAGAACCAATAGTCTTTTTGAAATTATTCACTCCGATGTTTGGGGTCCTTCGAGGGTAGAATCATTTGATGGGTATAGGTACTATGTTACCTTTGTAGATGATTACTCTAGAACTACTTGGTTGTATCTATTGAAGTTTAAAAATGAAGTGTTTGATGCCTTTAAAGACTTTCACAATCTTGTTAAAACTCATTTTTCCTCCAAGATGCATACACTTAGGTCTGACAATGGCACTGAGTATACATTTAACATTATGTCAACCTATTTAAGCACTCATGGAGTTATGCATCAAACAAGTTATGTGGGTACACCACAACAAAATGGTGTTGCCGAGAGAAAAAATAGAGATTTGTTGGAAAAAACCAGGTCCTTGATGTTTCAAATGAATGTTCCCAAGATGTTTTGGTCCCAAGGCATTCTTACTACCACTTACATCATTAACAGGTTGCCTAGTCGAATACTGAGTTCTAAATCAACCTATAAGAACCTTAAAGGAAGAACCATGGATGTATCTCACCTCAGAACTTTTGGGTGCATTTGCTTTGTCCACATTCAAGCTGCTCAACGTGACAAATTGGAACCAAGAGCTACTAAATGTGTATTCATGGGTTATTCAAGTTCTCAGAAGGGTTACAAGTGCTATAATCTAAGCACTCGAAAAATCATAGTGTCCAGAGATATGAGATTTGATGAATTCACTCCCTATTTTTTAAAAACTCTTAGTCTATTTCGCAGGGACAGAGTTTCTTGGATTCCTTTCCACTTCCTACTCCAGCTGAAGTGCATGAATGTAGCTCCCAATTGCTCTCTATTAATCATACTGATGATCATGTGAGTTGTGAAAATTCCACTGATCTTTCTCAAACTTAAGATCAACTCCAAGAAGCTGTGATTGCTCCAAGGAGAAACCCTACCAGAGATAGGCAACCACCTACAAGGTTTCAAGAGTATGTGGCTTATACTGCAAGACATCCTATTTCTTAAGCTGTTACTTATAAAAATTTGTCTTCATCTCATGTATCTTTCCTTAGTCTGTTGTCTAATGAAACTGAACCTAAAAGTTTTCAAGAAGCTAGTGTCAATCCAGTATGGCAAGAAGTAATGCATGAAGAACTCAAGGCCTTGAATAATAATCACAGATAGAGTGTTGTCAAGCTTCCCAAAGGGAAGAAAGCTGTGCTAAATAGGTGGATTTACAAGACAAAATTTCACTCTGATGGTGAAATTGAAGGGCACAAGGCCAGACTAATAGCTAGAGGATCCACTCAAACATATGGCATTGATTACAAGGAGACATTTGCTCCAGTTGCCAAGATGAACACTGTGAGAGTTCTACTATCTGTGGCTGTTAATCATGAATGGCCCTTGTTCCAAATGGATGTAAAGAATGCCCTTCTTCATGGTGACCTCAAAGAACATGTATACATGAGATTACCACTTGGACATTCTCAAGAGAATGAAACTAATATGGTCTGCAAACTTCACAAAGCTATATATGGACTCAAGCAATCTCTTCGTGCATGGTACTCTAAACTGAGCTCAGTTTTGGAAGTTGTAGGATTCAAAAGAAGCCATGATGATTCTTCCTTATTTGTTTGAATTGGTTCAGCTGGTAAACTCGTGGTACTTATATATATTGATGATTTAATCATTACAGGAGACAATATTAATGCTCTCAAGCAATCCCTTCACCACAAATTTGCAATCAAAGATTTGGGAGTTCTCAAATATTTTCTTGGGATTGAGATTGTTACTTCTAATCAGGGTCTATTATTAAATCAAAGAAAATATGTGTTGGATGTTCTTGATGAGGCAAAAATGATGGACTCCAAACCTACTCGTACTCCTTTAGTCAGCAAACACAAGTTAGATGTTGAAGGCAAATCTTTAATTGATCTCAGCACCTATCAAAGATTAGTTGGGAAACTCATTTATCTTACTATTATGAGACCAAACATTGCTTATGCAGTGAGTCTCATTAGTTAGTTCATGCATTCTCCTACCTCAATTCACTAGGAATGGTCAAAAAACTTCTCATGTACCTCAAAGGTTCAGTGGGAAGGGGTATTCTCATGAAGAAAAATGGTTTAACTCACATTATGGGCTATATTGATGCTGACTGGGCAGGTAATGCCCTTGATTGTAAATCTACCACAGGTTTTTGCACCTTCATTGGGGTCAACCTTGTTACATGGAAGAGCAAGAAGCAAGTTGTGATAACTAGGTCAAGTGCTAAAGCTGAGTACCGTGTGATGGCATCCACTGCTTGTGAGCTTATTTGGTTAAAAAGTCACCTTACAGACCTAGGTTTTTCAAGCTTTTAACCGATGTATTTGTACTATGATAACCAAGCTGCCATGCACAACGCATCGAATCCGGTGTTTCAAGAAAGAACAAAACACATTGAAGTGGATTGTCATTACATGCATGCCCAAGTTCAAGCCAAAGTGATCGTCACTCGAAGTCATGATCAACTGGCAAACATTTTCACAAAAACCCTAGAGTCTACTCAGTTTCAAAGTTTGTTTTGCAAGCTTGGATTAATCAACCCCTTTGATCTAGCTTAAGACGGCGTGCTGAAAGAAGTCATCAGTGGTCAAGGTACTAGTTGCATCTGCAACATCAGTCATATGCAGCATCAGTTAATCAGCCATATGCGGTATCATTTATATGCAGCATCAGTTTCAAGGTACAAGTTGCATTTGCAACTTCATCTACTCACATCAAATACACTATTGATCAGTATGAGAGCCATGCTGTCTTCACCCTTCCTGGGCTTGACTGTGTTGTTCATGGTATTGATGTCTTTGATCCCAAGTTCAATATTGTTTCACCAAGAGCTGATATGAATGAATACAAACAACCACTTTGAACTAGAAATCAACAGGTAGTTGAAGAACCTTACCAACCAAACCTAACTAGAAACCCAGTAGATTGATAGCATATATAGCTAAGCGAAGTTGTACTAGCAGAATAAACATAGGAATAAGTACATGCTTTAGCAGGGATAAACTAGGTAACCGAGGCTAATTCGTTTCACTTTAGGCGGCTAGGTTGATCCATAAACTAACTCATGTTCTTGACTTGATGGATAGTTCTAATGTGATTTCATATTCTCTTTGTCAAATTTTTGCATCATCTTTGCTCACTTCTACAAATTTGCTGCGAAGTTGTACACTAGGATTACAGTGAGCATGATTTTTACATCCTAAAAAATGTCGAATTCAGTGGCAATGAACTGAACTGTTCTTTTTCGTAAATTTTGTTAAACTATTACATGATGTAAGTTTTCGGATTGACTGTGATGCCTTGAGTTTAATTATCGTATGCAGGAGTTTTAAGCGTTTTTATATGCAGATAAACAGTTGAATATTAGAGTGCATAACGAACAAGACTACAAAATAATAGGAATATTATTGAATAAACGAGAATGCCGGAATGGGTACAAAACCCTAAGAGGCTACATTGTGACTAGCTTAATTCTCAAATTAAATTACAAGCTCTATTTATAGAGCAATAAACCTAAGAAACCCTAATGCGTAAATGCCAAAAATACCCTACTACAAAATCAAATCAAATCTCTAATTAATTTCCTAAATAAACCTAATAATTTCCAACACCCTCCGTCAAACTTATGGCGGTACACGTCATAAGGTTGCCAACAAGCAGATGTGGATGCAAGCTCCGTTACGCGGACACGACAAGACAAGCTCCGTTAGGCGGACACAACAAGGCAAGCTCTGTTAGGCGGACACGACAAGGCAAGCTCCGTTAGGCAGACACGACAAGGCAATTTCCGTTAGGCAGACACG